AGGGTGTCATGAGTCACAATTAGCTAGCTGGTAAGTCGCTTCTCGGCGTGCTAACTTAACAGGCCATCTGCTGTTGCAGCTCATTATACAACGCAGCGCTAATAATGAGCAATGTCCCACAGGGCAGGGAGAGCGAGGTGAAGATATATTGATAGCTCCATTGTTACGATGTGCGGCCCAATGAAATGTAGCAGACTGGACTGTGCCAGTGGCTTTTTGGCTTAGTTTTTGAGAAAGACCACCAAATGACAGAAGGCAATAAAAGATAAGAATAATTCCTGGCTAAAGGATGGCCTCATTTGACTATAGATTAGAGGTCACCCACCACGCCACCGCAAGTGCTCTCTCCCCGCACAGGCCAGTTTGCCTGTTTATTCCTTTGGGTGAGATGTCACCGGCATTATGGCATTACTCGTCCCAGCAGAAAGCACCAGACCACTGGTTCTCCACTGTCAGAAGCCATGGCAGTGGTCATTAATTCACGCTGCCTCCTCGCAACCATCTCACTTTGCTTGGTGGAGAATACAGAAACACACATACACACACTTGTATTCATATCTTTGTGGAGACAGTCCATTCACGTCTATGAGCAAAATCCTAATCCCAATATACATACATATATACATGCATACCTACCTACACACACACACACACACGTATATATACAGTATATGAGTCTGATAATTAATCATTAATCTTTGTCCTTAACCTTTTTACCACTAGAGGGACCCGATGATGAACCTACAGCCTGTCCCAGTAGACAGAGTGATACAGTCCATAAGGTAGGAGCACCCTCTCCATTACTGAAATCCTGACCATATATTTCTGCAGGCTGGAGTAAGTGCAGTTGAACATGGGAAGCACATACAGTATGATCTCTATATCAGGGGCAGGAACTAAGCCCACAATCCTGGAGGACGCTGGTCACAGTGACTCCTTCAAGTCAAATTGTATAAAATATACAGTAATTATCACCACATATAATGATATATGATCAGGCCATTCAGGGGATATGCAGTGCATTAAACAGTAGGCAAGTAATGGCTCTCGTAGCACAGAGATGAGACCTGGATCATCAGCAATTGACCCCTGTCTTTGAGTTTCAGCCACACTATCTGGAAAATAGCTCAGGGATTCTGAGAAATGTTATGGCTCAGCTCAAGGCGTAGCAACATCCGTCACAGATGGGTGATACCTAAACAATAATCCGGAAACTTGTGACTCCTGGTGAAGAACAAGAATCAGAAGCCAGAAGGTAGAGAAACAGAAAGAACACAAGAAGAATCAAACTTCTCAAACACAGATGAGAAGCCTCTACAGCTGGTCTGCTCTACCAAATATTCCCCTGCAGAATGACAAAAGTGTTAGGTCACTTCAGACCAAACCAAACAATGAATGCAAGCTCCTTGTCTGTAAGTGCCTGTAGCATATAGAAAATGTGCACATTCCTTAAGTCATTCCTTATTTCCATGGAAGACATTTATTCACATACGGAAAGCATATGTTGTGACTCTGCTCTTCGTTCACGGCTGGCCAGCTTTGAAGTACTAGGGTTAACAGGAAGTTACTGAGGTCTATTCCAAACAAAAGCCTGAAGTAACCATTGTGGTGACCCTCTGACTTTGATCTGTGCTTTACACCAAACCAAATGTCTCCAGTCAAAACCGAACACAAGCCAAACTTTACTGTATACAGGTTTCTGTTTCCTGGGCACTGGCAGCAGTTTCCAGCATTCGCAGCTCATATCACAGAGGTTATTGAAACTCTGTGGGAGGTCTAACAAGAGTTTATTAACACCAGTGTGTTTTATTTGCTTCTATCTACAAAACAAAACTGTTAGAAATGTTAAGTAAATCACTTTATAGACCTTATAAATGTTCTGTAATAAAAGACATTGAAAAAAAGTCAAATAAATTGTCACAGTGTTAGACTAGGTAATTACTGAGCAACAGAAATTGCTAGTTTTCTAGTATGCAACGTTGTTGCTTTGTAGTACTTGTGCTGTACATAATTTTAATCAGCTATAAACTGATTAAGAGGCTCTGTTGTAATGACTAACAGGTCCTTTAAAAACTGCTTGGAATATGTGCTGATCATTTAATATTATCACACAGTTGTTATGTCTCCCGAGGTGGCTGGCATCGTCTCACTCCGGCTGATATGTCTCCTGAGGTGGCCGGCATCGTCTCACTCTGGCTGATATGTCTCCCGAGGTGGCTGGCATCGTCTCACTCCGGCCGATATGTCTCCCGAGGTGGTTGGCATCGTCTCACTCCGGCAGATATGTCTCCCGAGGTGGCTGGCATCGTCTCACTCCTGCCGATATGTCTCCCGAGGTGGCTGGCATCGTCTCACTCCGGCCGATATGTCTCCCGAGGTGGCTGGCATCGTCTCACTCCGGCCGATAAGTCTCCCGAGGTGGCTGGCTTCGTCTCACTCCGGCCGATATGTCTCCTGAGGTGGCTGGCATCATCTCACTCCTGCTGATATGTCTCCCGAGGTGGCTGGCATCGTCTCACTCCGGCTGATATGTCTCCCGAGGTGGCTGGCATCGTCTCACTCCGGCTGATATGCCTCCTGAGGTGGCTGGCATTGTCATCTCACTCTGCCAGGGGGTGCAAGTCCCACCTCCAATGTGTGTGCAAGTAGTTTACATGTTCTGTCCATGTCACCTGGGTTTCTTACCATAGTCATGCAGTTAGGCTACCTGCTGTTTCTAAGTTACCCACAAAGTGTGACCAGTGTTTCATTCCTAAAATCTGTTGTGCCAGAGCTTGTAAAGAGCACAGAGACCTACTGTTGCCACTGTTATTAATTACTTACTTTTGATCCTAGGAGCTATGCTGTCGGGGGCAATTGCCCCTGGTAGGGTCTCCCAAGGTAAATTGGTCCTAGGTGAGTGGCCAGACAAAGTGCGGTTCAAATAGACTCCCATGACGACTATGATAAAGGACCATGTTACCTCACTTGGACTGGGGGACTGGGGCCTCGCCCAGAAGCCAGGCCTGGGGCGGGAGCTCGAGGGTGAGCGCCTGGTGGCCGGGCCACTAGCCATGGGGCTCATCCGGGCATAGCCCGAAGAAATAACATGGGTCCACCCTCCTGTGGGCCCACCACCTGCAGGGGGAGGTGTGAGTGCTATGTAGATCGGATAGCAGTCGAAGGCAGGGGCCTCAGTGGACAGATCGTCAGCTACCAAAACTGGCTCTAGCTACATGGAATGTAACCTCTCCAGTGGGAAAGAAGCCTGAGCTGGTGCAGGAAGTAGATCGGGCAGGACCATTATTGATATAGTCCGACTCACCTCAACACACGGCTCAGACTCAGGAACCAATCTCCTGGAGAGGGGACTCTATTCCATTATGGAATTGCCCTTGGTGAGTGGCGCTGGGCAGGGGTGGGGCTACTTATAGCCCCCTGGTTTGGTGACAGTGTGTTGGAGTTTCCCCCGAGGGATGAGAGGTTACCTCCCTTCAACTTCGTGTTGGGGAGCGGATTCTGATGGCTGTCTATGACTACGCGCCAAACACCAGTTCGGAGTATCCGGCATTCTTGGAGGCCTTGGAGGGGGTGCTGGAAGGCGCCCCTTCTGGGGACTCAATTATTCTGCTGGGGGTGACTTTAATTCTCATGTGGGTAATGACAGTGAAACCTGGAAGGGTGTGATTGGGAGAAATGGCTTGCTTGATTGTAATCTGAGTGGTGATCTGTTATCTGATTGTTGTCCATAACGAACACCATGATCGAACATAAGGGTGTTCAAAAGTGTTCTTGGCACCAGAGCACCCAAGGCCATAGATCGATTTTCAATTTTGTAATCATACAGTCAGATTTGCATCCATATATAATAGACACTTAGGTGAGAAGGGGAGTGGAGCTGTCACCTTCTCACCAGTGGATCCAGTGGTGGGGGAAGATGCTGGATAGACCTGGTAGACCCAAACACATAGTGAGGACTGTTGACCTCAAAGGGGATATAGTCAGGCGGTGGAAGTAATATTTCGAAGATCTCCTAAATCTCTCTGAATGGAAGACTCAGAGGAGGACTTGCCCATCTCTGGGGCTGAGGTCACTGAAGTAGTCAAGCAACTACTTTGCCAGAGTTCTTGAAAGCTCTGAATTAGACTTGAGACACAATTGGACAATACTTAATCAAATAGTCGGTGCCTTTCCACCAGCTGGCCAGGAAAAACAATGTTTGTTTTCTGCTAAGTTGCAGAATTTGTTCTGGTAGAAGGTTTGCAACAGATATTTACCAATTTCAAGGCACAAACAGCATTATAAGAAATGAATACATTTTATGCATTAGTGCTTTGATAAATTGCTTTCTGAAATGAAAATCTCAAAACAAAGCCTCCAAGATACAATACAGTTCACTGAATATACATGAATAATGCTATATAAGCAAATATTTAATTAATATTATTGTTTCAGAAGAAAACTAAGATCACTCTTATTAATTTGTGCTTGGCACCATCTCTGGATCCCAAAGACTTCCCTGTCTCTTTTGACTTGATCTACACACCACAATCCAGTCAATGGTACACCATGCATGTGCACTCGTGTGCACACATACACACACACATATACAAACACAGACAGACACACACAAACCCACACACGTTGGTCTTCCTATCTAAATGGAATGGAAAAACCCTAATCCCAATCACGACACCCTTAACCTCTACCCATCCCTAACCTTAACCATAACCAACCCAAATACAAGACTTTTGGCATTTTTACTTTTTTGATTGCATTAACAGATTTTCATTAAACTGAGGCTATCCATATGGGGACCTCAAAAGATGTCCCCAAAAGTAGGGAAATTTCAAGTTTTACTACACTTTGGGGACAATTTGGTCCTCAAATGTGATCTATGCAAACCCACACACACACAGGCACACAAAGAGTTGAATTAATACATTATTCTAGCGACACCAGAGACAGAGTGTGAAACAGAAAAAGAGAGGGGAAAGCGAGAGAGAAGTACAGAGACTCACCGTGACCCGGAAGGGTGTGGATGCGGCAGGCTCCATAGTTGGGGTCTTGTCCCCAGCACTGCCGGGCATGCTGCGCCTACGGCCCGCTCGCTCAGGGGGGGACTCTGCGGGCACAGGAAGTGACACGGCACTCAGATGGGGACAGCTGCCGCAGGTAATATTAGCTTAAGCGGCATGTATGCTGGACTCCTGTAGAGCTTGGATTAAAATAAAGCAGGATGATTTCCTGAGATTATAACCAAATCATGAACACTAATCCACTATAACAGTCAGGCACAGGGCAGTGTATTAACCCTGAACTGCTTAAGAATCTTTCTGCTATAGATCGCAGGTGAACAGCTGTACGTTTGTAATTTAAGGCCTTTAAATCCCAAGGGGCTTTCATGTTACAAGCCACTGTATGTGGGCCTGTGTGTGTGCCAGGTGCCACTGAGAACACCCCCCACTGAGAACACCCCCCACTGAGAACACTAAGCTAACACAGCAATCCATAAAGTCAGGAGCATCACTCTGGGCAAAGCACTGAACTACATAAAATCCCATGGTCACGGGTGTGCTGCTTCAGCTGGAAGAGGTTCTGCTTACTTCCCAAATGCAGGAGTAGAAAGATCCTTTAAGATCCTGCTGCCCTTTCACAGAGGCCTAGGAAATGTTTTTTGTTCCATCAATGTGGTGGTAAACATGAGTTGCTTAAAAAATAAACTGATTTTGAAATCAGAAATATGCTTTGGTTTCCATTATGTTTTTAGAGATCCCACTTATTTTTTATCTGAGATATCATCCATCCAGCTTCAAACTGCTAATCTTGGTTCCTAAGACGGCTGGGGGTTACGGGCCAGGGCGTCCCCTGTACAGGATCTCATTACAGACTAACTCTATAAAAGAGGACAACTGCAGAGAAGTAGCGGAAGAACATTTTAAACTGAATTTGAGAAGTAAAAACACAGAATTCACTTGGGTGATTTTAGCAGTCAGTTCTGTACAAGGAAGAAGAAGAACTGATTGTGTCAATCAGTCTTACTGCTGTAATCATATCCCAGCACACTCAGTACAAAGTGCTTCAAAGACACGACAAAAACGCTGCCTAACGACTGCTAAATATAGATATGCTTCTTATTTCCCGAAAAACCAGTGGGTCATCTTCTTCTGCCTTCAACACACTGGCTTCCAAGAACCAAACGGGCTGAACCGTCAGAAGGGGCAGGTCTGGTGTCATGTTTACTGACACCAATGACTTGGTCATTATTATTTTTCTAATACAGACTTATGCAAGTTGTAGGAGTAACATACATGTACATATACTCAATTTTCAAATAATACAGGAAAAATGCCTTAGGAGGTATGGAAACCAAATAATCAATATGTTTGACTTTCCTGACAGGAAAATCTGTCAATATTTTGGTCTATCCTCCAAACAAACTTTGTAAAATACACCCTTTTTCAGAACAATATGCTTGATTACACAACCAGTTCAATAACGAAAAACTGCTACAGCAAAAACTATTTTTATTGGAAGGTTATGCATGAAAAATGTGGTTTTCTTCAGGAGTTTATAAATTATGTATGTGATTTAATATTGTAATTTATTCTCCAAGATACAAACAACTTACGTACCACAATAATGAGCTCAGTACATGCGTTCACCACATAGTACATTGTTTGTTATTGAGATTCAAAACCTCGGGAAAAAAAAAAACACTGAGCCTGACAGAAAAGCCGTTCTGGAAACAGAGATGGTGCTGGAAACAAAACCACACGTAACGGATCTCAGAGACTGGTGTCAAGACATTTTACAGTCATGCTGCACATAAAGGGAAAAGTAAACATCAGATCATTTTACAGCTATTCTACACAGACCAAGATCCAGACACTACAAGCATCCTGCGTACACATCTAGAGAAATACAGCTGGTAGTTTCTCATCATGAATAATAAAAAAATCCAGGTGAAACCCACTTCATCGTCAGCTGAAGAAGGAAGGGATACAGGGTGCTGATGAATGGATAGATGAAGAAAGATATAAAAGGATAAAAGGGCCATCAGAGCTGAAAAGATCAGCAACAAGAGAGGTTAGGCACAATTAAGTGGAAATGGATTTTTTAAAATTACAGCGTGATTATATATGGGTGGAGGTCATATAGCTTTTACAAATTTCAAACTGTAGGAACAGTAGATGAATGTTCAACTGACATCCTTCTTCATGAACTGAAACAAGCCCTAGTGCAACACAGTGGCTAGGTGTGTGTGTGATTTGCATGCTTTTCACAAGTTTACACAGGATTCCTCTCAATGCTACAGTTTCCCCCTGCAGCTAAATAACACGGTAAACATGCATCTCTAAATTGCTCATAGTGTGGTACTGTGTGTGTGTGAGAGTACGCATTGCGGTGAACCAGCAGCCTGTCCAAACCGTTATCTGCTTACGCCTTGTGCTTCATGGGAACTCATGTGAAATAGGGGAATTTTCAGCCTTCTGAATACGTTCATAAATGTCACCCCCTGGGTTTATAAGCTGCAGTCTTTAAGCCATTCACCAGGCCCATCATCTGAAGCGCCGCATCACCCACTGCCTCTACCAGCCACTGATCAAAACAGTCACCCTCTACACTCAAGTGGACGGAAGACTAGTGATCAAATTCAGAGGCCTTTTTTCAAATTTGTATTTTTGGGTGCTTTCGTCAGAGCAGGGTGAAAGCATACATTATTATGGCCTAGATTAGGCTTAATTAATGCAAATTACAATGTTCCCTATTCAGATGAACTCTTAAGCATCCCTTAGCAGGACAAATAACAAGATGTCCAGTTTCATTTAAACTTTTGACGCTACTGGCAAGCTTTAGGAAAAACAAGCTAATTGGTTAATAACCCCAATTACACCAGTTGTCAAAAACGAATTTAAACATTATGACAGTGAGACAGATGCATGCAATATTTTCTGTTTTCTCGTAAAGCTGTTATCAGTTTAAAAACCATAAAACAGAAAAGCTTAATTTATTTAAAAAAAATAAAATTAATATTTTTTGGGCCTTAGTGTGCCTTGTGCTATTTAATTTATTACTCGATAGCTTGCCGCAATGAGTGCCACGATCACAAGGTGAGGGACAAAGGTCTCGGGAACTGGCGTGGTAATGAAATAGAAAAGGTTTTTTGAATTTAAAGAACAAATACGGGAAATAAACGGGATCACGAGGGATCGAAAACAGGAGGATCAGAACAAGGGAAGGCACTGGCAACACGCAGGTTTGATGTCAATGACGGGACTTGAAAAGACAGCACACGGAAGCACTTTTCTACATGACATGAGTAAACGAGAGGCAAATGGAGTGAGTAATACAAGGGCAGAAACTAGAGGTAAGACAAACGAGTGGCTTGTTAGGGTCTCGCTAGGGAGGAGAGAGGAGAGAGGAGGGTCAGGTGGACGTGGGAGGCAGAAAGTGACAGCCACAAGCAAACATTGGATAAATGGTATGGAAAACAGATGGATGGATGGACAGAATGTAAGTGCCTTTATTGAGCTTACTCATTAAAAGACACTGCATGTCTCCAAAAAAATCAAACCTATGGACTTCAACCTTTAACGTTAGTTACACTTTTACTTAGAAAATCTATATTAACATACATTTATTCAGTCATGTTGGTTCCCATCGCATTTAGCTGACCTATTTATTTAGAAACATTTAAATTATCTCCTATACCTACACCGCACTTAACAAAAACATACTCCTTTAGGTTAATCACCTGTTGATTTCATTCAGTGTAAATATCCCCTTTCTCTGATCTGTGCCCGTCAGGCTGCTACACAACATACTTTATGTCCATTCTCAGATTTGGCAATTTTCAGTGATAGGTTGCCATGGCAACCATCCAGCTATTCTGAAGACTTGAAGGCAGTTAAGTGGATTAGATGCATGTCTCCATCTCTGATACTTCTTCATATAATCAAAATGTCTAAAATCATTCACTGCTGTAAAACTGACAGTACTTCTTTACCTGGCTTCTTCTGAGTAAATTTTCTAATTTATGTAAATTACAAATCCAAATGAACATCATTACCAATAAGAATATTCTGGGAAGCATTACACAGAATGTATATTCTGAATCTGATGATGCGATTATTTGTTGATTTGTTGTCTTCTACATCAGGGATTCTCAACTTGTAGACAAGTTCTGAAAGGGTCGTGAGACAGAGATGCAAATGTAAGCATTTTAAAACCAGCAAGCTCCCATGCTGATCCACAATCAGATTTCCTAGCCCCAATCTTAGAATCAACCTATATAAATGGGTCTTGGGTCAGCAACTGCTTAGCGCAAAACTAGTGAACATTCAACCAATCCAAGAAGCCAAACCACAGGTGCTTAATTTAAAACTCACTGGCACATCCAATGAGATTTGTGCAATAGGCATTGAATGACGTAAACTGCAGAGTGCACTGCATGCTTAATCAAAGTGTTAATTTAGACCTATACTTGATACAGGTTCGCGACTAAGCTGGCATGGTAAAAAGGACACTATGGTACTACCCACTGAGCAACCTGACACCCACGTTCATTGTAAACATACAGAATCTGAGAAAATATATTGTTTTTAATTTAGTCCATTCTAAATATCCATCCTCTAAATAATCCATCCATCCATCTTCCAAACACTTATCCTCGACTAGGTCACAAGTTCAGTAATTTTTGGAAAATAAAAATATTTGCACAACTCCTTTGTACTCTGCCTTTTCAAATTTCAGACAGTGGAGTAATAAAATGTGACTGATCAAATTATTTCCAGACCTGTTTGAGCAACCTCTTCAAAACAGCCCAGAACCATTTACAGATACACAATTCGTCAGGAATGCGGTTTCTAGCACCGTAACATGAGCATTTTTAGCCACTGAACATCATATCCTTGCATGTGTTTATACACATAACATGACATATATTTGTACAATATCCACACACATGTTAAATGCCTAATATTATAAAGACAGATGGACGATAGATAGATAGATAGACAGACAGACAGACAGATAGATAGAAATGAGAGTTCAGTTACTGAGATCCATATGTAGTTATAAGTTTAATTCAACAGTGCACTGAGTAACATTATACTAATAAAA